TCCAAATCTGTCAGTGTTCTTGATCAAATTTGAATGAATTTGGTTTTTTTTTATATGCTGATTGTGGAGATGGTTGTGGAATGCATAGTGTTGGATTGTGTTATCAGAAAGGGATTGGTGTAGAAAAGAATTTAGATTTGGAATTTGAAAGATATTCAAAATCTGCTATTACTGATCATGGCTGTAGCATTCATAAAAACTATTTCCGATGGATAAAAATACGATAATTTTAGAAATATTGAAGAAGTAGATAAAGGTGGGTTTTCTGTAGTGTATAAAACATTATATAAAAAACGATGTGTAACGTATGAAGAAGTTGCAATCAAGATAATAAAAGTTTCACATAAAAATAAACAACTTTTCTCAAACGAGGTATTTTTTAACGCGCAAAATTTATATTATTTTATGAATTACTTGTATATATTATTCCGTTTTTTAGTTAAAGGCATATCACGAATTTGGGAAATATCGTGGCATATCAATGGATAAAAATACTGGAGATTTTCGTGACAATTTTAAAGATATGTTTAAATTGGAGTGGAAAATTAAGCTGCAAATATTATGTGATAAAGATCTATCACATATTCATTCGAAAAACTTAATGCATCGAAATTTACATTCTGGTAACATTTTACAAAATACCGATATGAAACTTATATTGATTTAGATTCATCAATATCGATTGATGAAAGACAGGATGGTCATATTTATGGTGTTTTACCATAATTAGCACATGAGGTCTTGAAAGGAGAACAGTTCACTCATGCCACTGATATTTACAGTTTTGGAATTATTATGGTAGAAATATTAACTGGACGAAGACCCTTAGATGGTTATAATTTTGATGTTGAAATAACAGTAATGGATTACTACCTGAATTTGTTATTAAGTTATGCTAAATTAGCTAAACAATGCATTAATTCAAATATGAAAAAAAGACCAACGACTATTGAGATTATTAATAACCTTGAAAAATGGGAAAACATTATAGTAATGATAAATCAAATATGAAAAAAAGATCTAAAGCTATTGAGATTTTTAATAAGCTTAAAAAATGGAAAATTTTATAATTGTTAATAATTATAATGTAGTGATTTATATGAAGAGATCAATTAGCAATTTTTAAAAGATGGTAAAACAATCAAAGAATTGCCAATTTCCTCGCAAAAACATGATATAAGTATATTTCTAAACTTATTGACACAAGAGAAATTGTTTCAGAGTTTGAAAATTTTAAGAGTAATCAAAATTTTAAACCAAGTAAAGAGGTCCGTATCAATAATATTGATAGCAATTTATCTTTTCAAGATTTTTGTTGAATAACAAAGTCGAATTAATATATTGTATTTCGAGAGTATTAATTTATTATTAAAAAATTTTTTAA